GTAGCACTAAAGACAATGAAGACATTTTTAGAATTGTAGGAACTCAAACTATTGTTGCTCCACTTCACTGCTTCAATTATTTGTGCTTTTTCTGCTCAGCTGCAAAATATTTTCACTCCACTTGAGTCAAAAAATGCTCCGCATTCAAGGTGGCCAGAACAATGGGTGTAGTAACCCTCTTCAGAGAGCCTACGTCTAACGGAGAGGCTAACTGAAGAGAAGAGGTATGTAGTTTGGACAGTGAAATATGCTCTGGAAAGATGTTTGAGCAATCAAAGTGAGCTAGAGCAATGTAGGAAGGGGAGGAAGAGGGGTCCGCTTTTTGTGTTGGCCCCGCCTACACGTGAAGCTGCTGACCGGCGGTTGAAGAGTGGAGTGAAATGAAGAAGGCATGAAATCAAAAACACAAATAAACAACAAAAACAAGCAAAAATATGTAGTAGACAGAAACTGTAAAGGGTTTCCAGCATGATATGGTATCTGTCGTCTCGTAGCTATCTTTCAAGATCTAAATTGGACGTTATTTCCAATAAACAGCTGTGGAAACTTTGTTTGAACAAAGCATTTCAGTGTGATTTCCCATCAGCATTCAGACCATTGATCAGGCTGTCTTGGGTCTTGGGGTGACGATGATACCCATCTNCCCCCCCCCCCCCCCCCCATTCTTAGCTACATTCGCAGCAGAAAGCAATTCAGTGGGAATTGAAAACAGTTCACCAGGACTATAAAATGGTAGAGTTCATTAACAGTTCTGGCTTCGAAGCCTTGACAATATGCCTTAATTTTGTTGGTTAGGGCTAGGAGCTCCCACTAAAGCACCGCATCCTGATTTTCCGCAAGGTGGTCTTGGGAAGAGTGCCTGTCGTTTTCTGTATCCGGGGCATCTCCTAGTTCTGGGTAGGTACTGTTAGGCGAGGGTAAATTTTTGCCGGTTAATGCTGACTTCTAGAAAAGTTTGAAAATCAAAGTAATTGCGTAGTAATAGGGCATGGAGGGGTACGACTCGCTACCAAATTATAAGAGTAAACAGATGTTCTTTCGTTTCGCAGCTTCATCCCATGCAACTCCATGATGTCATCTGTCGTCCCGTGCTTTCCCCTGTTCTTTACTGAAGCAAAAGATGAGAAACCAAAAATCACCTCAGATTACATGCGAAAGCTATAACTACGTTGTTTTGTTGACCATCCGACTAGAGAAGTACCAATTGGATTTCTTTTTATCCATGGACGACGCCAACCCCATTGGGTCATTATCTTCTATCGGATACTAACTAAGTATCTCTTTCCTTCCCAATTGGATAGTAATCGACCTGATACAACTTGATTGATGCCCTCCATTCGACTAGCTTTTCTTTTTTTGCGTAAGTTTGAGAGTCTAGCCCAGGGGCACATAAAAACGTCAGGGAGCTCGCTATGGAATGTGGTAGAGCGCCGAACTTCGTCTAGAATGGATCAGGCTCTTACCTGGGCAATGCACTCATTGAATCCCAAAATGGGACTCTTCCTGATCAAAGCAATACTTAACCCACATATAACATAGCTATCAGGCAGTTTTAGCTAGTCCTTATAGCAATGTTCTCTTGCTTGGTGATACACAAATTGACAAATTGAAACCGGAAATTTTGTAAAGGTAATTTTCGTTGTTAGGACCAATTTATCAGTCTCAGGGGAATAATTTCGGCACTAGAAAAGTATAAAGAATAAAGTCTTAGGGCGTCAATCGATCCCGTCCGAGGGATGCGCCCATGCAATGGACTTCCATTCAGAATCGTAGAGGCGATCGCATGCGTATATGGCCTATACAATGAATTGCGGTGGCCAACCGATGTACAAGTCAAAGCTTCTGTCCTCCCAAACGAGTCTGATATCAATTAGCCAACCCCGGAGGGGTGAAAAGCTAGGATGGCTAGGCGGATATCGATCTGGGATTTGAACCCGTGACCATGCGTGTGTGAAGTCCGTCACTTACCACTACACCACCTCCGCCCTAATGATATTCCCTGGACTCCAAGGGCGAGTCATCACGTTGGGATTATTCGAAAACGGAGGAATGGTCATTCCAATTTGTGTTGCGTAAAATGGCAACATGGAACATTACCAGCTCAATCAGCAAAGTTCATTCCGATGGGCAGGATGAGAAAATCTGCTCGAAGAGGGGTGACGGGGGGGGGGGGGGGTAGTAGTGAGGTACACCGGACTCAAAGTGACAAGTGACATACAATCTACGTAAGTGTTCATTGAGATATTGAAATTCCATAAAAAAAGAAATCAACTCCGACAATAAATTCATAAAGCTTATTTCTTGAAAGATCTCGTTGGGAAGGCTGTCATGCCCTTTCCGGAAAACTGACTCAAAGAACTGAAACAATTGTCACATTAGTGCCCCATCACAATAAATTACACTTTCGGACAGGCTTTTGACGTTTTGAGAGGGGAGCCGATGAATCTGTCAGAAACCATCAGTTTCTTTGCACTAACTTATCCTGGGAATTTAGAAATGAACTTTCTTCATGACCTCGTATCCGGGAAGAAATTCACTTAGTACTGTGAGGGAAAGGGGGGAAAACCATAACTTCCGAGTATTCAGGACGTGACAGTTTGCCTTGGAACTGCTTCAAAAAGTGTAGGTAATCAAGTAGTGATAAATCATCAAATCTCCAGCCTTTTTAAGGATCACATCAACAATATAACCCAGATGCCAAGACAGCGCCGACCCACCATATGGGTTTGATGACCGTTGTTCAGTGTGGGGAAAAACCACCCGTAGGACATAAACCACTATGCGATCCTATTACACTACGTCGAAGAGTACTAGATAGAGCATTGTAAACTGGGGAAAAACGACCATACCGATGACAGCACAGGATTTCACCAGCGTCACCATCTGACCACTGATTTTTAATTGCACATCTGAAGTCGAAGCGGTTCTCATTGTAAGAAGATAGATGCATAAAACTAAAATCAGAAGTTTCTTCTGCAAGATGTGCCATTGCCAAGTTATTTAACCTAAAAATTGGGGGTCTCCTCAGGGATTTGTTGGAGTATAGTAGTTATTGATCTATGTTAATAGTTAATCTAGTTAATCACCATATTATGAGTGCTATCATTTTATCAACATGTATCACTTGATATCATATATTATTTTGTTATTATTACAGCGTTACATTATAGTTATGCATCATTATTTTATCATGTACCATATGTAACAACATATTACATCTGTTTAATTTTGATATGAATCACTTTACTACAAATTATCATATGTTATCGTGCATTACATTTGCTGAGATCATTAAATTGTTGAATTCGATTATTATTAAAGTGCCATATTTTGCCGTAATTTGTTTATTACTGTTATATTATAGTTGTCATCACTTTATCATCGCAAATTGCAATTTGTCATACATTCAGCAGTTATGTATATTACGATCTACTTCAAGTAGTAGCAGTTCCTTTTGAGCAGTCGGAAGGAGAGGCAATTCAAGGCTTCAGCTTCGCTGATGCCTTTGCAATCAGAAAACGAGTGACAAAACCAGTGAGGAAGATTTATCAGTAGTTCTTGGTTAACTCTGGGTTTCTCTGATTTTGATCGATCACCAACGTTTTTAGAAGTTCCATTTGCTTTGCCTTTGCTACTAGCTCTACCAGCTCCCAGGGCTCACTAGTTTAAAATGGCTGCCTTTCGCAGACTAAATACAAATTTAGGTGCCGCTATGAGTTTGATTTGATTGGGGTCCAAGGGCCTGGATACATTCAATTTCATAAAGTTATGATTAGTGGGGAGGCCTGGTGAAATACATGGGGGACCACATAGACCATCCTGCTGCAGACACGAAAAAACTAAGGGGAACATTATGTTGACGGAAATGGAAAAGGGCATATCCAAAAAAAAACCTGGCAAAGTGATGTTGACTGCGTTTTTACATTAATCCAATAGTCCAACAAACTGCTCCAACTAATCGAAATGGGCGGAGTCAGGAGCCCCAGTGGAAACGGGAAATTTGCAGGTCTGGTAAATTTGGACCCACTCAAACAGGGGGGGGGGGGTCCAAATTTACCAAACCTGCGAATAGTCAAGGCTAGTCCATGGGAATCCCAAAAGTACTTGGAGTGGTGGACAAGTAATCGTTGTGCAAGGTCACCCCGTATGTATATGGGAAGACATCATTACATTGTTTACTATTGTCTCAAGTCCCCTGGGAGATCATTTCTCATTGGGATAATCTTCAGCTGTCATGAAGACGGATTTCTCAGCAGGGACACCCTTATCAAGGTGTTCTCACCCACACATGGAGATGAGCATCCGAAACCATCCATCATCCAAATCAGATAAGAAGAAAGTAATATTTACAAGCTTGCTGACTCTTGGACAGAATTGGACGTGCCCGCTCGATTTTGACATCCATGAAGGCAAATCATGCGTTCCATTCCTTGAGGATCCATTACTGGTACCAAATTCATCTGGGAGGATGAACGTGCCAAATTGTAGGCCGGCTAGCCACCATAATTCATTATGTAAGCTGCATACGCATTTAAACGCCACAACGATTCTGAGTGGAAGTGGAACGCGTGGCACATCTCTGAAGAGGAACTGACTCACCCGAAGACTTAAGTATTCAAGTATTCATGGTTCGAGTAGTAAATTGTTAAATCAAGATGAAAATCGTAACTCTCTGATTAGTTCAGCGCTCTAAAACATCATTCAGAATGCAAGTCGAATGTGGAGAGGGGGAGCGGGGAGGAGGGAAGGGGAGCATTTCAGCAAGGGAATCACTGACCCAGAACACTTTGAAACTCTCACTTTATTTCATTCAAGATGAGGTGCGTCATCAGCATTTTATTTTGTAATACCCTAAAACTGGACGTTCTCGTGGAGCCTCTGCATGTATAGAACATTTTTATTGCACTGAATGATACAGTTTACACTCTGCGTCTCACTAAGCTCTGAAAAAAATACAAGCAAACTTTTCAGGATTAAAGTGAAGCTACTGAACAGCTCTATCATTCGGAACCATCCATCGGATCTTCCCGAAGAAAGTCCTCTATATCCGCTACGTGGACAACCCACAGGTCCTCCGATGGTACCACCCTTTTGTCATCCAGGGAGAGCTCCTCTAGGTCCTCCGAACGGGTATCCTCCTGGTCCTCTTGAAAATGGTCGTTCATATCTTCCGGACGGATGATCCCTTCGTTCTCCGGGGAATGGTCCTCCAAGTCCTTGGAACGGATTTCTTCCTTCAGTTCCAGGATGTTGTTCCCAGTGAGGGTTTTCACCTGGTCCGCCGGCTCCTCCAGAAGGGAATCCTCCTGGTCCTCCAGGCGCGGGTCTTCCGAATCCACCGAAAGGGTTGCCTCTTGGCCCTCCTGAATCAGGTTCACAGGGTCCTCCGGATTTTTATCGTTCCTGCTGCCCTGGTGAAACTCTCCGCCGTCAGGTCGCCGTCCAGGAAATGGTTGGTTCATTAACGGCAATCCGCTTGTTTGTTGTGAGGAATCGGAAGAATGTCCGCTAACTACTTCACCAGTTCCCGCATCTACCTAAATTAGAAAAACAACGTGTTCTTGAATTTAATCCAATAAGTTTGAGAAACTTCGATAGATCCTCTCTTCCTACAAAAAACCCTCCCTTCAGAATGTTTTTTTTTNAAAAAAAAAAACACTCACACACCGAAATCGTTGCCAGTGACACAACGACAGACAAGATGACGAACAGATTCATCTGGAAATCTCCCAGAGTAGCTTCGATTTCTTTGTTTACAATTTCGATTGAAAAGGCAACAATGAGTACAGCCTTGGGATAGCAGTAAGAGGACAAAACAGGGCTGAACTATGAGCTAGATCAGAATCAATGAAGGTCTATAAAGATTCAGAGGAAGGAGAGTGAAATGGTTTCAATGGTTTGTTGCCGTCGCTGCTACTGTCGCTAGGTTTTCTATACAGAATTCATACAAATGACAATCGATAGTGACTGTTTTCGAAAAACCGCACCCCAAACCACCGTTAGCTATTCAGACGCAGAACTCTTTCCTCCCCTTTGCTACTGTTTGAACAGCAAGGAATCGATTTCCGAAAGAATATCAGAACTCTGTATCCCAAATGAAAGCAAATGATGACATATTTGCCCAGATTTTTTCATATTCAGGAACAAACTTCTGTGTGTCTGGTCTGTTGGGATCACTTGCGCGGAATCAGTCCGAAATTTGGAAAAGAGGAGAAATCTCGATTAACATTTTTTCTATGGTAACACATCTCGCTTCGAGGGTTTACACTACGAATGCAGTGGCGCTATCGCCTATATCGCCCGTCGTCCTGTTGATTATCGATTCCCTCGAGCGAGCGCCGGTGAAATCTCCATTTGTCCCTGTCGCTAGCCGGAGCAGTCCAGTGGATTAAACTCGCTCGAAACATGGGGCATAGAAATTTTTTCGTTTAGAGCTTTAGAGAAGGTGACTGACCACCGAGCAGACAGCCTGGAGTTCGTTTGACTTCCTGGACTTCCTGAGGGACCCAGCCACTTACCGGCCTGACTCGGTGGCCATAACAGTACCCAAGACGTGTCCGGCCCTCCAGATGTCGAACTTCCTGGAGTAAGCAACGGCATCGCTGATCTTCGTCCATTGACGGACCACGGAACTTTGGCTTTTGGAAGTATAATGAAAGAATTAGCTCTTTCAGATAAAAGACGTAGTAATGGGAGTTTGCCAATGTTCATCGCTGGCAAAGTCGTTGTGTTGTCCATGTATGCAGATACCTTTGATAATATTATGCAAAAGAATGCAAGGAGAATAATGCTCGCGATCTGTCAAATGGAAAAATATTATTTCAAAAGTGATTCTGGCTGCTCAAACAACAGGTGATTGAAAAACAAACCAAAAGCTCCAGAGGCTGCAGACTGTTTGAACACTGTTAGAGAAAGGACGATACTGATGTCATCATTCCATTCTAGGAAGTCAGTATAAAAGGCCCAACGGACGCACTGGTAGCAGCCCTTCAATTCGCTCTCCTTTCATCAAATCTTCACGAAGAGTTTTCTGGTCTTTCTAAACCTTTAGTTAGGTTTCTTGGTCCATCAGCTGCTTTTTCGAAGACCACATCTTTTTTGAACTCGATAAATATGCATAAATACAACAGTAAACAAAGAAATTCAATGTCATCCTGAGATTTTTTCAGATGAATTTATTCGTCTTCTTAACTGTTGTTACGTCTCTGGCGACGCTTCCGGTGAGATTTTTTTAGCAAGTAGACTATATTATACAAGAAAATGAAGATTTATTAATAAATATATTGCTGAAGAAAAATTTTAGTGTTTACAAGAAATATACAAAATGGATAGATCGATTTCGCGATTAATAATTTTTATTTCAGAGGGCAGATGCGGAAGCTGGGGAGACGACTCTTCCACCAAGTTCTTCACAAAGACCACCAGAGGTGTCGACTACAAAACAGCCGTCTTTCAGTGGACTTAATGTTGGAGGTGTTAGAAATGGTGGCGGACAACCAGGAGCTCCTCCAAACGGACAACCAGGAGCACCTCCAAACGGACAACCAGGAGCACCTCCAAACGGACAACCAGGAGCACCTCTAAACGGACAACCTGGTGGACCTCTACCAGGAGGACAAGAAAGGAACCCATTTGGACCGGGAGGAAATGCTCCTGGCGGACAAGAAGGATACCCTAACAGAGGGCCTGGTGGACCAAACCAAATCTCCCCGTATGGCGGGGCCGGAGGACAAGGAGGATTTCCTAACGGAAGATTCGGTGGACCACGTCAAAATCCATACGGTGGTGCAGCAGGACAAGGAGGATATCCTGACGGAAGATTTGGTGGACCCGGCCAAAATCCCTATGGTGGAGCTGGACAACAAGGAGGATCTCCATATGGAGGATCCGGTGGATCAGGTCCGTATGGTGGAGCTGGAGGGCCAGGAGGATTTCCTAATGGAGGATTCGGTGGACCAGATCAAACCCCCTATGGAGGAGCTGGAGAACCCTTCCCTGGGAGACGAGGAGGAAATCCGTTCGAAGGACCTGAAGGGCCGTTCCCTAGCAGCCGAGGAGGGTATCCGTTCCGTGGACCTGGTGGACCCTTCTCCGGTGGACAAGGAGGATATCCGTCTCAAGAACCCAGAGGACCATATGCCGGAGGACGAAGAGGATATCCATTTGCACAAGGAGGAGGATATCCTTTCCAAGGACGTGGAGGGCCTTTCTCTGACGGACAGGGAGGGTATCCGTTCGAAGGACCTGAAGGACCATTTCCTGGAGGACGAGGAGGAAATCCATTTGGAGGACCTGGAGGATATCCTCATGATGGATATGGAGGATTTCCTTTTGCAGGACCTGGTGGATGGTTCTGATCAGTGAGTCTTCGAAACGATTTGTGCAAGATGTTTTGGCATTTGCAATAAAATTGCTTTATACTCGTAGTGGCAATACAAAAGATGTTACTGCTACAGTATCATAAAACATATGATCAACCAAAAAGCTCGAATGGGACGAACGACAGAGTTCATTAAAAAAACGATCAGACTCCTTTTTCAAAAAAGGGAATGAAACGAGAAAAATGTAATACAGACAGTAAACCACCACAACAGGAGAAACTAGAAGTTTAGCGCTCAGAAGAAGTCGACCCTATGTATTTAACTGTAGCTTTCCTTAACTGGTATCTTCATGGCATCACTAAAGGTTGGAGTCCATCCAAACTGGCTTTTGGCACAATGTAGTCGGGGTGCACTATCACATAGACATATATGGGGATGGGATTGAATCCCTGATCGGTCTCTGCTCATGCCAACCGCGGATAACCTCCTTCCTTCTTGGGACAGTTATTCGTTACCAGTTGGTCGGATAGGTTGAAGCACTGATCTGTGCTTCGGCTGGCCATCGCTATTCATCCTACGGGCCACATACGATTCAAATGACACTACGATTCCAGGTGGAAGTTGAATGCTGGGCGCATCTCTAAGATGGGACTGACAAACCCGAGGACTTAGGTCTTCATTGTTTGATTAGCAATTTTTTATGCAAAGGTGAAAGCGTACCTCCCTGATTACCAAGTAGCGAGTACTTTCTGCTGGTATTGAGAACTTCTCTTATCCACTGCGCAAAAAGGCGAGCCTATTCACGATTGGGACCATCCCAAGCGTGAATGAATTCGGAAAATTTCAACTCGAAAAAAGGAGCCGAATTTTGGACAAAAAGTCTACTATGAAATTTATTGATAGACGTCGCAGTCGTTCAACCGTGCTGACCTGAAAATGGCAATTCTCGGAATGGTCTCCAAAGGGAGCAGGGGACCGATTTTTCCTGCAATGTCTGATGGGGTTCTAAAGCTCAATTGACTTCGCAGAGAACGTTACCGCTTTACTCTTTTACCGGATGAAGTAAACCAACTAAGTTCTACAAAGTTGCACAGAAGAAGGCCAGCCAAAGTGAAGGGTCTCAGTGGAATTCTCGACGCTACACAAAAAACTTATAGCTCTTCTTTTATCTAGATAAAAATGATGGACAGGCTGTACGAAGATGCATCAGCATCTCCAGAATAGGCTTTCTTGACTTCATCGAAATAGGGCTCTCAAGGGTTTCACGAAAACTTGGTGGATCTGAGAGCTCCTGCCAATTTCTCGAAGTTGAAATGAAGGATAGAGGAAACACCAAAAAAAAAGGGATCTGGTAGTGCAACTACAATAGTCAACGTTTGAGTTGGTAGCTCTTCGATTGAGTTAGTAGCTCGGAGGTTTCCGAGGAAGGACAGAGAAAGAAACCGAACTTGTTAGCCAGAGAGGTCTGAAATACCTTGAAAGATACCAGTCACCCTTACATCAATAATGCCCACCGAATCCTTTACAACACAAAGGGGGGTTGTCGATATTTTGAAAGTGTTTTTCCCCACCAAAGAGTTTTTTGGATATTAAAACCACCGAGAATAAAAAATGTTGTTTCCATGTACGAAATGAACATTGTTTATTGAACTGGAAACCATGTTTACAAAATTCGCAGCAAAACAATATCATCATATTTTTTGAACAGCCATTGATTTCAAAGTGTTTGGCAACCAAAGTTTGAGCCATGCGTCATCTGAAACGACCAATTTGTTTACTGAGTTTACCAACAACAAGTTTCTGGACTATTCTAGAATATTACTTCCATTCCATTATTCTTCTCCAACTAATACCCCAAATTATCGTGAAGTGAACCTTCAAAGCTCAGTCGTTGAGGTACATCACCGGGAACAGGTCATTGCCATTAAGGAACTTACCCCATTTCTCTTTCAGTATTTTTTCTAGATAGATTTTGAGCTGCAATAAATGGAGCTACACAGCAAATGAAACAACAGCAACAGAATATCCATGTGAATATAATAACGTAGGTAACGGTAATAAGGATGAAGGCAAGGACGAAAGTGAGATGATTGCAGTACAAATTGCTATCATGTTGCTCGAACGTCACAATACCAGCTACACTATACACCCAGAACGTGCCGAAAATAAGCCTAAAACAGAGAATTTCGATTTTTCTGAAAG